CATAAGTAGTCCTGTCTTTCAGTTACAGCTACTGACATACTGCCAGTAGCTCCTTGGTGATATATCTGCCTGGCATTTGGAATTGAAGTCAGTTACACTGGCAACCATGCCATCTGCATTCAACCTTATCCCTCCTTCTGATGTTGCACTACAGGTTTGTGTACAATGGATAGAGACTGCTGCCACAAAGCTCCTTGACAACTTGCTTTTCCTGCAAGACAGTTTCAATGGGAATGTACATTCACATGGTTCATTGTCTGCACTACTAATGGATTGGTTTATCAGGGAAAAACCAGGAATTTCACTCACCCTGCCCTCAAGGAAGCTGTCATACAATTCTACTATACTGGGACCTATCGAATCATGGATAAGCATCCTGAATCCTTCAACAATTCAGTTCCCCTTTCCTGTCTGGCTCTCATTGCAGCTGCAGTGAGTTATTTTACACCCCAAGTCGCTGCAACTCAAACTTTTCTCACAGTATCATTGTGTGTTGGATGGATTTGCAAAGAATGGCACAGGAAAGATGATGCCTCAATTCTCCAGCAAGGCTTACAATTCCATTTTCCATGGCATGATGAAGGTACTGAACAACATCCTTCATAATCCCTATCACAGCATGAGGTTACATGATCAGCTTTCTCAGTGGGCAAAGAAAGGATGGTAAGTACTGGGGCAGCTGATGTGCTCATGCTGACTCCTTGTATCAGGGCTGCACTGCAAGAGGTTGATTTGAATGTAGAGAGATACCTGTTGAGAATGCATTCTGGAGTTACGGTAGCCTCTCAGGGTTTCACCCAGAGGGCTCAGAATTTCTCCCCAACCCTCAGAGTTAAATTCTGATGTCACTACACTTACTAATTACAGTACTATAAATTTTCCACACCATCCTTTTCCACCTCAGGAATTACCTCATACACTGAGGTGAGCATACTTATACTTACATTCATTTACTCAGTACTGACATAGTGTAGATATTCATACCTTCACTAGGTACCAATAAAGTGATTACTTCATACACTGAGATACTCATACCTTCATTAGTACCAGCACATTCAGGCAGTCCTTGATTGATTTCATAATACCTAGTCCTGTTGTACCTGTCATTACATGTAGTATGCAATTGATGCCAATGCTCCTGCTCCTGTCATACCTGCTGTGAACTGTTCCTATCCATAGCAATCCATAGTAAGTAAGATACTTGACAAAGTTCCATGACAATGTGACCATTCCATAGTAACAGGCAACTAGCCATAGCAAAAAGTGTTGTTGGGTGCATCTGTCCAGCCTGGACCTAGCTAGGGGACTCTGTGTATTATGGAGCACTGTGGAGAGCTCCACAGCTCAAAGTGATTTACTGATGATTTGTAAAACTCCACTACCATACAGCTTCCCATTCTATCACATACATGATGATAACAGATCTCTTACATTGATAAGTAACACTCCCTCCTTGTAGTGCTTTTGTTTGAAAGACTTTGTAACTATGGACACCACACACTCCCTCCAAATGCATCCAGGAGGGCCCAGAGGGCTTTTGTATTTCTCTAGGAAATTCTCTCATTGAGGCATGCCACACTGGCAGCTTCGAATGAAGTCGATGCTACGGGCCCTTCTTCAGGTGCCATTGAAGCGAGGAACACTCATTTTGCATAGAGGGAGAGGTAATGCCTGTTGTAGTACATGCCACAAGAAATCAAGTAGCACTAGCATTCGTGGGGGGTTGTAAGTACTATTACAAGGTAATGAATCGTGTATTTGTGAGTCTACTCGGAACACTAGGACCTAGTGGTTGGGTATCAGAGATACACAAGAATGGTACACTGGTCAAAGTATTCGAGATGTTCCTTGGCTCTCCACGAAGTACCTATCATCATCAAGTATGCCGACGACGATTGACAAACTCCCTTGCCCGCTGAACCTGCGAATTATTTACATGAGCGTCCCACTCTCATCGCTCACTCGGAAGTCATTGAGAAGCTTGGCGACACTAGGCTCCCTTGAGCCTATCGACCAGCACAACTCCTACTGTGGTTCAGCAAAGTTATGGGAGTATTGGTTGGATCCCCATAGTGGCACGTACAAACCACAAAAGGTTTGAAGACGGCCCTTGGTTGTGGGAAGTTTAGGGTGTGTGAGGTAGCAGTATGCGCACTGACGAAGACAACACGCAGTGGGTGCTCAAGGGAAAACCTTCATCTCTGTGGAAGGCAGACACACCGACGAAGACGACACATGGATGCTCAGGGGAACCTTCGTTTTCAGTGGGAAAGACAGGTTGAGACCGATGCTAGGGGAATTGTATGCTGCTTGCAGGGCCCTTGATAGTGGAACCAGACGATCGAGGATCCATATAGGCGGATTGCGGGTGTGCGGGGGAGCCGAAAGCCTTAATGTCATCGTTCCATGTATCAGTAACCAAGCCAAGAAGCTCCACTGGCGTGGAGAACCTCGTCGACAAGAAGTGAGGGAGCGCATATGAACTTCTGCTCACGGTGTCGTCGAAGGCTACGCAAAAGTGCACCTCCGCATACTGGGACGGTGCAGTAGGGAGGCCTAGGGACAGAAGGCAGAGAACAGCCACGTAGTGCTCTAATGGTCAGACAAACGAAGACTCCGGACATGCGCATGTACGGTTACACACTTTAGCCTATAGCTTCCCCTGAGCTCAGTTCATTGCTCAGAGGCTATCTCCCACTACTTCAACGGTGCGTGGCCGTTCAGTGTTAGAAGGTCGGCCTGGTGTCAGGTTCGGGCCAAAGTAAAGGGACACCTTGACGAGGACCCGGGCCTGTCAGCGCCCACGTGAGTTTCGCCGATACGCTTATTGAGGTTGATATGACGACTTTCCTTTCCCCATAGACCTCAGCCTGATACCCCGAATCTGGCATGGCTTGCCCAGGCAACATGTTCGTGGCCCAAGTCAAAAGTTTCGCAAGCGACGTGAACCGGTACATTCGTCTGCAACATAGCGCAAGCTCTTTCGCCTCTTAGTCGATGAGGAATATAAAAGCCAGCAAACATCCGAAGTCCTCTGCGCCGTATTCACTCGATTCGAACAAAAAACTCGGCATGCTTTAGATGCACAAAGGACTCATTATCACGGGCCAGGTGTATCAGTGATATGTTGATTGTGGCTCAGCAAGATACTGCCTGTGCACAGGAGAAGCCGAGGTTGTAGTTGTGTAAGTTACAGGCGGGGACCTTTGGTGCACAGGAGATAGCTCGTACCGTTGAGGCCCAACGTGACGAACCCGAAGGTCTTAGGTTTCGAGGAAGGTATTCATCGTGGCCGCAAGATGAAATATAGAAAAGACCGCGCTATTGGTTGATGATGGCCATATTCGAATGGAGGATGGTGCTGCCAATACAATTGACAGGCTTCTTGCAGCTCGTGATGAGTTCGAGGAGGAAAGCGAGCCAAATGACCCACCCCACCGTCAGACCTTGATACCCACACTGGACTCAGTGAGCGCTGAGGGCTCATGCAGACGTCGCAATCCAGAGACAGAGGTCATGTGGCCCGCCTTCGTAGCTATGTGAAACGCTAAGAGAAAGACTACACGATGAGAATCACGAACAATGATGAAAGTGGGCAGATCGAGGTGAGAAAGGGTACAACAGTAGATCGTGAGGGAAAGGATCTATCAGGTGTGGGGGGAAGGCCGCGAGTCGCCGAGCGCATAGTTAGGCACAGCGACCGAGTCCCGAGATGCTGAGATGCCGAGGCTTATGGCGCACGATCAGAAGAAGAGGGTAACGTGACTAGTGGTCGCAGAGAAACCGATCAGGGGTCACGTGATCGACCCACGAGTGAGAACACAGAGGATCGGAGGCAAGGGGAGCAGCCATATCTGGCTGTCTGGCTGTCTGTGGAACCGTATTCATAATCCTACAGATGCAATAGATGGAAGAGACAGGCAAACATGTCAGATTAGTTCAAGCTCCACCTCCAGAGGTCAAACGTCTGAGCACCAGTAAATTCAGCCAAATTACAGCATGCACATTAGACAGTAGTGGCGTTCAAAATAAATCTGAGTCAAACAAATTTGGCCCAGGAATCAGTGTGAGCATGGCAAGCGGGTCCAGTGCGTGTGGTTTAATTCAAGCTCCGCTTGAAAATGCCTCCCCATCGTCCATGCACAAGACACTCTGCACACCTGCAAGCGAGACAGACAACTATGATGGCATCAACTCCCCCTCAGATTCCAGCCAGAAATGCAGGTTCCAATCCTCCTTTCCCTTCTCAAGTTATATCCCCACCCCAAAATACGATCTCTACGTCCCAGAGAGGGAAGCCAAAGACCAGGGGATCCAAGTCCCAGGCTACTGGCTCTCACAAGCAAATGACAACTACCCTGGGAGGTCCTCTGCAGGAATCAAGGGAAACCATTTTCTGGGAACGATATCCACACCTCACTAGCACACTCCTGAGCTGGCTCTTGCAACATCCTGCTGATCATGCCATCCTATTCAGCAGCGCTAAGCAGTGAAGTGTGCAAGAAGGCTCTGCTTCCCTTGGAAAGCCCCATGGGCAAATGAAGAAAGAAATTCATGCTGTTGTTGCAAAGGTGCTTTTTGCGAATGATCCAGAATATTGCAGTGGGTATGAGATGCAGCCAGAGAAGTTCAATACAAGTGTCTATGCACGCCTTGCAACGTATGTCTTTATCTAATGATGGGAGATGGCATAACTCAATGGTCAACACAGGTTAAAGAAGAGATATTGAGAGCAACTTGATCGTTTCAAGTCCACTGGTGGTGAGATCATTCCTGGTGATGCAAGGTATCCAAACCTGCTGGGTGAGTCTGTTAGATCGTGTTCCCATTCAGTCCCACTGATGATCTGGTTTCAGTTGATGCCATTGTGCATTTCCCTTGGTTCGAGGAATGTGATCAAATGTGGAGGGGAATTCCATCAATCGACACCCAACTGCAAAACTCTACTCCTGGCCTTGATCGTGCTGGCAATTTTCTTGCGATTATTCAACCTGATTCCCCCTCTGTACCCCCCCCCTCCCTCCGGTACTTCCCAGTCTGTGCCAGATTTGTTTGGAGAGTGTGATGATGATGAGACCATGGTCCAGCAGGTGGAACATCCAGGTTTTCCTGGTGTCGTCACTGATGATGACTGCATGTGTATGGAAGAGGAGGAAGAGGAGGCCAGTGGTGATAAAACAAGAGGGCATGATATTGACGAAGAAGAATGTGACGATGACTGGATGCATGATTCTTCCCTCCCAACAGCAGGCCCAAGCCAATCAAATACTTTTTTGCCGGTGGTCCCATCTTTTGCTAAGGCAAGTTACTGATATCTCCTAAGTGGTCGCACTGTACAAAAACTAACATGAACAATCTAGTCTTTCAGTGGCCCAAGTGACTTTCATAATTGGCAACCTAATCCTCCTGCTATGAAGCACAAGACACCATCCTGGGAAAATTGCAGTACATTCCACTCTTCCCCATACCCCAAGTGTGTCCTGTCATTGACTTCAACAGTCACATCAACATCATCGCCACTGTCTATCGTCACTAAGAGTCATGGCCACGGTCCTGGTTCTGTGGTGTCAGGGGGAAGCTCAGGAAATGCAAGATCTGTCTCCAAGCTCGAGGTCACGCTAGCAGAGAAGTTGCAAGGACTTTCAGGAGATACTTCTGACTGAGAATACCAGATCGCTCTTCTCAAGAATGAATGTCACATCGCAAAATATAACATGCACATGCATATGAAGGAGATTGAGCACGATGAGCATGAGCATCAGTGCGAACATAGTGAAGCTGACAAGATCCACCATTGCATACTGGAGATGCGGAACCATGACATCCAGCTCCACAAGCTGGATGCAGAGGCATTTTCTAGGGAATCCAAGGTCCTCAAGCTGAAGCTCAAGCTTGCGGAGATCGAGGCTCAGAAGGCCCTCGCTGCTGGTGGCCAAGCATCGTCCTCTGCTACTCCTATGTCATCAATAATTACTCCTGCAGATCTTCCTCCATCCCTTACCTGATGTCGCTTGTAGGACGAACGAGTATGTTTTATCCATTTGTCCAAGTTGTCACCGTTGCCCTTTGTTTTTTTTACAAAATGCAAAATGTATTCAGATTCGTATCCCTCTCTCCATGATCAACCTCTCCATTAAGTGTGCACAGAATTGTTGTCCTACTGATCCTGGTTCTAGGGCCAGCAGCATATCGTTGTCATTCCCTTCATCAGGCTCCCCTTCCCTCATCGCCCAATCCATCATCCCTTGCCCCAACTCTTCACAGCACCTTTCTTCAAATTGCACAACCATATTGTGCAGGATAAAGCAACATGTTATCCAGTACACAGCCAGATCCATATTCCCCAGTTTGTTACCAATTTTGATACGGAGTTCTCTCAGTGACTGAAACTGGCCTTTCAAGGCTGCAAATGCATGCTCTACCCTGACTCGAATCTTCTGAATTGTCAAGGATGTGCCATGGAACACTTGGTAAGTACGTACCTTTGAAACATAATGATTATATGTGTTCTGATGCTTTGTCAAGTTCCCCCCTCGTGGCTTTTTAAATGGCACAACACACCACTTCTCCGAGGGATATGCTGTATCAGCCCAAGTCCAGTGTCTGTGTGGCATAACACTGATTGGATCCTTGAAGATCCATGTTCCCTGAAATGCATACGCATCATGGACACTCCCCGGATTCCCCAGCACATAATCAACAATGGCCAAGTTGTGCGGCATTATTACAACCTGCATGCCCATAAGTTGTCTGTTTCTGCACGACATCATACTCACCTACCTGACAGTTTAGTGAGAAATTTGATTTGCGGTTGTAGTAGCTGTCAGCGAATGACTTCGGTCACACATAAAGGTTAACAGTCGTTCCATCCACAGCAAAAACTCCATTTCTCCAAGACCAGCAAGTTCGTGACTCTGCAAATTCTTGTGCATGCCTCAGTTCTGGGGATTGCACATCTGGCACATAAATGAAGTTGTTGTGCTTGTCCAGCAGCGCTGCCATTACCTGGTGAGTACAATTGATGACTGTTCTGACACTAACGCCTGCCCACTGGGCAGCATCCTCAGGTGAAGATGCATTACCGTAGTGCCCCACACAGAAAAGGAAAATTGCGAGTTGAACAGCCACAGGTAATTGTTTGTTGTTCGACTTGTTCAAAAATATGTAGTGGTCACTAATTTGGTCTAAAATGTCATCAAATATCACAGGATCGACATGCAATTTTTTCCGGAACAAGAGTGGTCGGTGGATAGCAAAATGATCAAGGAGTGGCAGTTGAGATGCATGCATCATTGGTATGCCTGGTTGCTCGAAGACTCGTGCCATGTGGACCTCATCATAGAGTGCCCAAATGGTCTGCAGCACTGCTGTATATGGAGCAGTTATCCTCTTCACAGAATGGAGTGAGCTGAGGGATGAGGATGACAAGGCAGACATGGATGAAATTGGAGATAAGATCATCGGGGACAAGGGTTCAGACAAGACATCTGTCCAGTCGCCATCTGACATGCTAGAATTGGAGTCATTGTCATCAGCCTCCATGTAAGTCCCTAGCTGCTGCAACTGCATTTTGGCAACTCTGACTGCTGCATCGCCCAGGATCTCTAGGGTCTCTTGACAAGCAGACTTATGGACCATTGTGGCAGAAGGAGGACAGTGTTATCTACTCATATCTAATACCATATCTGAGCTGCCCCCTACAAATATTGCTTGCGAGTGAATGTTCGAACTTAGATGTTGAATATAAAAAGACATGATGTCATGCTGTGTAGCACAGCACTCCAAAAATGCAAAGTGAGCGGAGGTTTAAAAAATCGGAACTTGAAATTTGTCAAAGTTGCGGCTGAAGTTTCTGCTAGGGTTTAGTGCCGAACTCAGCCAACTCAGCTAGGGTTTAGCGCCAAAATCACTCCAACTCAGTTTATTTTGAGCACCACTAATAGATGGAAGAGACAAGCAAACATGTCAGATTAGTTCAAGCTCCACCTCCAGAGGTCAAACGTCTGAGCACCAGTAAATTCAGCCAAATTACAGCATGCACATTAGACAGTTTTTGAATGCTCGGCAAACACTGGCGAACATTAAGCGCTTGAAAACCCAGGTTTTTGAATGCTTAGCTTTACTGATGGAGCTGCCTGAACCGTCAGTCCCAGACTGGGTCAGCCTGATTAGACCCTTCGTAGTCTCGGTGCCAGACATTTTGGGAAGGTGGTGGGAACTCCGACCTCCCTTCCCAAAACGTCTGGTCGAGCCTAGACCCCTTGTAACATTCCTATGGAAAGCTGGACAATCATGCTCGGATAAGGAATGTCCAACGGCGAAATGCCCAACTCAAAATGGAAATGGCCGACGGCGGACCTCGATCACTCCAAGTCCTTTTTTTTTTTGCCATCGTCGTAATGAAAAATGAAAAAACAGGTTTGTCCAAGTACCTTTTTTTTTTGGCCATCGTCATAATGAAAAAAGAAAAAACACGTCTGTCAAAGTACTTTTTTTTTTGGCCCATCGTCGTATTGAAAAAAGAAAAAACACCTTTGTCAAACTTGTGGAAGGAAATGGTATATTCCACCGTGCACATCTTTCCTTCGACTCCTGAGACTCGTGCAGTGTTTCAGCAGAAACGGGGCGAGTTGCTCATCACCCTCGGATTCGCATCCCAAACCCAAATAGTCGTACGTAAATAATAGATATTACTGAATGGGTCTTGACAGAGGACCTGCAGAGTAGAGTTCCGAACCCAAACCCATTTACCCCTGCTGATACCGAGAGTCTACAACCAAATACCGAGCGGGCGGTAGTAGTGCGAAGCGTACCAACTAAGCGCTGCGAGACGAGTCCTGATATGGAGGGCTTGCAGGATATTGTAGTCGGCAGTGCAGGCACATCTGAGCCATCAAACTCCGAAAGTTTACAGCCAACCACTCAGGAACTGATCGGCATTTGTCCTCGGTGAGTACCAAACCCCCACGTTTGGACGGTCGATTCATCTATGTGCAATAGCTTTCGAGTCTTAGTAGTTGAAAAGGTAATCTCAGCTTGCACCCGTCACTCGAGCAGATCCCAATAAAGGTATCCTTGTAGTCAGGTGTAGGGAAGTCGACTCTGATCAATCGAATCTTCGGTCTGGAAGTTGCGGTTGAGTGATTGATGATTTTCATTCTTACCTTGCATTAACGAACTCTATAGCACGTCGCAAAAGATCGACCAGGGCAAGTAGCTATCAATAAAGAGCTCATCTCACAGGAGAACAACAGATTCATCTTGCACGACAGCCGAGGTTTCGAACCAGCCGAAGGCAGCAACTATGACGTCGTGAAGTCATTCATAGAAGAGAGGAAGAGAATGCCAGATGTCAAAGATCAGCTTCATGCGGTCTGGTACATCCTTCTGAGATAGACATTTGGAGGTTCCAACAGCTGATGTACACAATAGGTTGTGTTTCCAGGTACCAATTCTAAAATATGGCGAACGGCTGCTGGAGGACGGTGTGGAAGCGTTCCTGAGAGAAGCGAAGGAAGCCTTAGGGAGCAGTGAGCAAACCTATTCTCTTCGCATCTCCTGTTTACCGACTACTGCTAGTCCCGACTATAGTGGTATTTACCAAGTACGACAGACTTGTAAGTTTCGTGAGAAAGAAGAAATCAGCAGACCCTGAGGCGGAGGCAAAATGATATTTGCAAACGTATTCATCAGTAAATCACTTTTGTTGGCCAGAGCTGTCCAGCACTGGACAGATTCCCTAGGACTGCCAGCTCACAAAGTGGTTTACTGATGTTGCATTGAGCCAATTCAAGCCTTCATGGGAGGCGCAAACATCTCGCATGTTGTGGCTAGCTGTGGGTATCATTTCATTAATTCCTTGCTACCATTCAGCTCAGACACCACTAGTGAAACACAAGTGCAAGCGAGGGCTCGAGGAGCTGATAAACCTCACTCAGGAAAAGGTATCTAAGAATTTCGCCTCCCCGGGGAATGCAGTATCGCCAGTGCATTTGGCGGCTGTAGGGGCACAACGAATGTTACCGACATTGAAGGTCGAGTTGTCCATCGAGTAAGCCTTGTTCGTGACGATCATGACATCTGGTCTAAATTGATTCTCATTTAGAGTAGGAAAGCAGAGTGAGTCCTGGCGTGTAAAGCAACGTATCGGATTACTCAATCACTTCTACCTACAAGGATACTGGAGGGCATTGGCTTCCAGCGCAAATTTCCAGGGCTATACCATGCTGAACTGTCTTCATGTCATACACACCGATATCATGCTAGTTTGGAATTTTTATGATCTTGACGATGTGAGCCATGTGACCTTATTACTGGGCTCTGTAGGGCATACTCACATCCTCCTCTTAGTATCTGAATAGCTCAGAATTTCTGAATCTGATGATGAGCATGGTTGAGACTGTTGATGTGGCTACTAGGTCAACAGCTGAACCTGCCCCTCTCGGATGTAGCGACGCATTTGCCATGTAAGTGCTGCTGTACGAAGTGCTACGTGACAAGCTCAAGGAAATTCGGGCCGGAGGAGAAGTATGTAGTACATAAGTCGTGATGATACACGACAGACATATGAGCTAAATGTCGTCAAGAAACAAACGTGGAGTTTACTTGCGTGATGGCAAAGTGTGGCTCTACTCCTTGATAGCAATGATAGATTTCACCGGAGGTAAGCCCAATGAGTTTATAATCATGAGCATGCCTTCTAATACAGTGGGTGACTTCCCATGAGAATTTAGAGACGATTCATCCTGTTTACAAGGTCACCACTGCGAATGTTGAAAAAAGCAACTCAATTTTCAGGGTAAGATGCTTTTTTCAACATTCGCCGTTCGCACGCACGGCCACCTGTGAATTTCGGCATATAAATGCACGGCAGTTTCCTAGACGCCCACCACCTCGAACCATGTCTTTGCCTCTACAGTTATCCTGTACGGCTTTGAGATTGCTGTTAAAGCCTTTACTGGACTAACTTTTCGGGCAGATATCAAGTTGGAAGACGCGAAAGATGTCGAATCCGTAGAGCTCGTCGTCAACAACATGGTATACCCTATACCTCGAAGCGATCAGCAGAGTGGCGCATTTCACAAGGACCTCGATGAACCTTTGTCAGTCTCGTTTAAACTGCACGTCATCAAGCGCTTGACTGACCCACCGTAGAACGTTGACTGCGGGGCAGCTCTCCATTTCCGTACGCCGAAAGAAGTCGCGTCTCCGTTTCGGGCGCCTGCCGCTTGTTGAAACCTTCACGATCGATTCGGGCGATGTTCTCTCCGGGTTGGAAGGACATGGTATATTCCACCATGTGCATCTTTCCTTCGACTCCTGAGATCTGAGACCCTTGCAGTGTTTCAGCGGGAACGGGGCAAGTTACTCGTCACCCTCGGATTCGCATCCCAAAGCCCCAATAGTCGTACGTAAATAATAGATGCCACTGAATGGGTCCTGACGGAGGGCCTGCAGACTAGAGTTCCGAACTCGAACCCATCTTCCCCTGCAGATGCCGAGAGTCTACAGCCAAATACCCAACAGTCGGTAGTAGTGCGAAGCATTCCAACCGTAAGTGGAGAATCAAGCGCTGCAAGACGAGTCCTGATATGGAGGGCTTGCAGGATATTGCAATTGGCAGTGCAGGTATAGGTGTCGCTGCCAACACACTTGCACCTGCGAATCGCGATAGTCTACGACCAACCACTGAAGAGCTCATTAAGCAGTGTCCTCGGTGAGTCTCAACTTCACACTTGCCAGTGTCTCACTTATTGCCGTGTAATAGTTTCCGAGTCTTGGTAGTTGGAAAGGTAACTTGAACTTGCATGCCGCCACTCACCTAGGTTCTAACATCCTTACAGTCAGGTGTTGGAAAATCCACTTTGATCAATCGAATCTTCGGTGTGAACACTGCGGTTGAGTGGTTCAAATTCTGTGGCCCTAGCTGGCGTTGGCAATGGTTATAGAATGTAGCAAGGGATCAACCAGGGAAAGCAGACATTGAACAGGAATTCACTTCGCCACAGAACGACCGGCTGATTTTGCATGATAGCAAAGGTTTTGAGGCGGGCGATGCTGGCAACTATGAAACCGTGAAGTCATTCATAGTAGAGAGGAAGAAAGAACCCGATATCAAAAATCAGCTTCACGCGGTCTGGTACGTAGTTCTGAGACAGCCACGTTGAAGGTTTTGACGGAAGGGTCTATATGATAGGTTGTGTTTTCAGATACCCATTCCGACGTACGGTGAACGACTTTTGGAGGACGCTGCAGAAGCGTTTTTGAAAACAAGGAAGGAAGTCCTAGGGAATAGTGAGCAATTATATTGTTGTTTAATCTCCAGTATACCAACCGTATTCAGCGCCGACGATAGTCGTATTCACGAAACATGACCGGCTCGTGACTTTCATGCGGCAGAGAATGCCAAACGATCCTGAAGCAGGGCAACGATATCTACAAGAGGAATGCGTCCAGCAAATCAAAGACTTTACTGGAGAGAATATTGCACATGTTGCAGTTAGCTGTGGGTGTTACTCCTTCGATTCCGTTTTAACTACTCAGCCCAGAGACCACCAGCGAAACTCAGATATGAGCACGAGCTTAGGGACCTAATAAGCATTACTCAGGACATGGTATCTATGAGTTTCACCTCCCCGGGGAATGAAGTATCGCCAGTGCCTCTGGCAGCTGCAGTGGCACAACGAATGTTGTCTACATTGAAGGTTGACTTATCAATCGCGTAAGTGTGAAGCATTGCGACAGTGCATGTATTTTGACTTGTTAAACAGCGTAGGAAAGCAAAGTAAGTCTGGATGTATGCGACGCTTTATTAGAGGCTGACCTTTTTACAAGAATACTGGAGTGCGCTGGGTACCAGCGCAAATTTCCTTGGTCATACAATACAGGACTGCCTTCGTGTCATACACAATGACATCGTGGCGGTCTGGAACTTTTATGACCCTTGCCAAGTGAGCATTGTTGCCCTAGCAGCGAGCCTTACTACAATGTACTGACATCTCCCTTGTAGTACTTGAATAGTGAGGAATTCCGAAAGATAATGACGAACATGGTTGAGAGAGTCGATGCACCAGCCGAGCCAAATTCCCTCGCTCGCACCGACACATTGACTGGGTAAGTGTCGTTGTTGGAACCCGCTGTGCGACAAGCTCAAGCGAATCGCTGCCCATCAAGGGGGGTCCCACTCATCGCTCCAGCACCTGTAATGCTGCCATTAAATGCTTTCCTCGGCCATGGCAAGTGGGTTCTTGCAACATACCAGCGACTGTGCGTGGCACTTTTGTGATGCCTTCAGCATCAGACGACTCAGTGACCTTCCAGACAAGACGTTCTCACAAAGTTCATGGCTTACATCGTTGATTTGACACACGTACTGGAAATACTGTTTTCACTCACGGCTGGGATAAGAGCAAAGAAGCTTACTCGTATGGCGGTTAAGATGGCATATAAAGCCTACCTTGAATCGCCATGGGTAATGTGCACCCACACGGAAATTAGGCATTTCCAATGTCCGACTACGACTCGTGATGCTGTCCTCGACAAGATCACATCCATGATCTCTTCAGACGGCAGGGAGGTTCAAGTGTCTACGGCGCTCGAAACGCTTCCACGAGTTGACCTGGAGAAAGACGAAGAGTGGATGGGCCAAGAAGTCCCGCAGTGAAGCTTGCGCATTCATTTAGCATCTTTTCCTGACGTTTTTGCGTGCTTTCATTAGTTTTCCTGTTGTATCACAGTCTGCCTTGTCTCGCTGTATTTGCACGTTGTAGCTGGCTTGGATCGAGTGTTTTTCGACAGAGAAGTCTTCGGGCAGTCGTCTGTAATACCTACACTATTGTCCACCTTACAACCCACATCTTGCCATTTTCCTGGAGGTTTACGAACGGCGCCCTGGCAAATCGCCACAACGGACGTATTGCGGTACAATGGACCACAGCCCGCGCTAGAATTAGCATCATCATCAGCATTTAGTTGAGTTGGCTTAGGATAAGTATGGAAAGCCAGACGGTCTCGCTCAGGTACATGGTAGGTGATGTGCCGAACACCTACTGGATTTGGTAGTCGACCACCTTGGGACCCGGGACAGACCCGGAAAAATACACATGGTGTTTATAGGTATTTATGCAGACTGCCAAGGTCGAGTCCAAGTAATGACATTCTAGTTACCGTAGTACTACACATGTATCAAGTACCACAGGCACTCGCCTTCTACTAATACCATGCCTTGCTGTGAGAGTGTCAGTGCAAAAGTGTGCTCGGAATCCCTACTATTCAGGGCGTTAAATTGCATCTCGGGTAGGTTTGCGGTGTCCTGGGTCCCAAGGGTGTCAATTACCAAGTCTAGCATTTACGGGTGCCTCGCCCCAAGCCTCGCCCACCGCCTTTCTTGTTAGATTTGGCAAGTCGCACGTAGCCCGTTCCGAACGCATCCGCTCTGGGTCGTGAGAACTATTTTCCGCTTTAGACCCTTTTCTTACTCAACACTATTACTGAACGCGCAAACTAACTCTCCGCGTCCTTATGTTTATTGTATTTACAGTGTCTCGCACTTATGTGCGAGTCCTCTTGTTATCCACGAAGACCATAGCGCGTCTCACAACGAGACAATACTTATTGTAAACGGGTTCAACACCCGGTGTTTCACTTCTATTGTTACATTACAGTATTTAGTTCTGCACTGTAGACCCCAATCACCTCAGACGTTGTCGCTGTCTGCGCGCGACTGAGGTGAGTACGATATCCTTCTGCTTACTTTACTATGCTTACCGCGCACCTAGTTACTTGTATAGGTAAATATATACAGACGTTGTCGCTGTCTGCGCGCGACTGAGTTACTTGTATAGATACTTCTGTAATTTCTGAGCTTGACCGTCCGGCTTTCCATAGATAAGTAAATGGATCGGCGCGTATTCGATTTCGTTTCAAAGATCTGCTCCACATGAGGGCGAAGTCAGGCCAGTGGCGGTAAAAGACAACGTACCTCAAATGACCAACAATATAGCTGCGACAGGGAACTTCAACTGTAGAGGCATACCTTCCGATTTCCGAAAGCCAATCTCGGTAGTGGTTCGTTCGTTGAGCGTCAGATTGCTCCGCAATCATGAATGGACTGGATTGGCTTGATTTCATTCAGCCTGATTGGGGGTGAGGCTCTAGGAGGGCAAACCAACAGCGCTGATGCATTTCCTGTCGTTGTGCTGTGATATGGCTGGTATTGGAAAGAAGGGTGAAGCGGGCCACCTGCATCGTGGCGGCCAACAACCTGCCAACAGTACTTCTTGGGCGCCTGACGACAGCATGTAAACGCACAGCAGCTTCCTAGTCGCTCACCATCTCGAGCCATGTCTTTGCCTTTACAGTTATCCTGTATGTCTTTGAGATTGTTGTTAACATCTTCACTGGACTAACTTTGTTGGCAGATATCGCGTTGGAAGGCGCAAAAGATGTGAAATCCGTAGAGCTCAACATCGATGGCACAGCATACACTATACCTCGAAGCCAACAGCGGAGTGACGCTTTTCGCAAAGACCTCGATGAACCTTTGTCAGTCTCGTTTAAACCGCACCTCCTCAAGTCCTTGACTGATTCAC